CAACACCCACAACACTGAGGCTTATATAAAGGGAGCTAAATGGAAATTCTGAATGTAAAATGTCAAAACAGTCTTTCTACATTCTTTTCTACATTACCCTGATCTGAAGAAGCAGCTTTATAAAAGATCAGTTTGGAAACAGAAGGGATGACTTAACCTGCAATGTCTTAAAATGACCACTGCATGGCACTGTTGTACAAGTAATGCTCTTTAGGCCAGCTGTTTGGACTAACCTGATCTAAAGTCTCTCCTCCCGGTGGTGTGTAGTCACGGCACGACTGGCCTGCAGCATTCGCCATGTTCTTCAAATACTCTTTGTGACGCCCTTCAGCGACACCAAAACCCTGTGCCAACACAAAAAGCCCCAGTTTAGGGCTCCCGTACAGCTATGTGTAACACTTTAACATGTGGAAGCAGCAGAACGTAAACAGATCTTACTCGCTCTCTGAGTAGCGGCTCCAAAACCATTTCCATGCCAGAGCAATGAGTGTTGTTCCTCAGAATTATCTCTGCTGTCTGAAGAAGGAAACGCAATCAGTCACTCATACACTCTTAATGAAAAAGACATGAATCTCAGCATAGCCATTTCTACAGATCCTGTGTTGTATTTCTCCATAACCAGATGACATTTCATTAGTTAAACATTTGATGCTGATGGGAAGTACGTGTGGCATCACTTAGTCATGTAACTGTTCACATCAGTTATTACAGCTTTGTCGTTACCTTAACTGTGAGGAAAACCGCTGAAGTGGCAGGTGGCCAGATGATAACCTATGACAGCCTCCACATGGAGGTCACTGCTGTCTGATCAGAGTGCTGTACTGAAGCATGTTTATGTCATGTTGAGTGGAGGAGAAAAGCATGGTAGGAAAAGATACAAAAGCAACAAACTACAAGACTACATTCATGAGTGGATTGTCAGGAAAACATCCATTTATGGACTTCACGAGAAGTGGACTGAGGCTAGTGTCAGAGCATTGAGAGCGAGCACACACAGATGTTTTCAGGATAGGAGCTGCAACTGAACCTTTATGAACGTTAAGTAAATGTATAAATTTCATTTGGAAATCAGGATCCTGGAGTCTAGAGGAAGCAGAGCAGAGGCTCAGAATCAAAGGTTTTTGAAGTCCAGTGTGAAGTTTCTGAACTTTGTGATGATTTGGGTTTACATGGCATCTGCTTTTCTTTGTGGTGGTTGGTCCGCTGCGTTTTATCAAATCCAAAGTCAATGCAGCATCTACCAGGAGATTTCAGAGCACTTCGTACTTGTGTCTGCTGACAAGCATTATGGAGACAATGGTTCATTTTCACAGCAAGACTCAGAACCTGCAGAAGATCCCAGTTATTTGGAACGTGAATAGCTGCCTGTGTCAAGAAACCCGTCCATTGGCGTCCCCTGAATCTTGAGCAGTGCCAGTTACAGTCTTAAGAAAGACAATACACCCTAAAAACAACCTTACTGGTCCCATAGGAATTAACATGGTAAGTAGAAGCCAGGTGCTTCTATGCTTCTCCTGTACATAAGCACAAGTTTTGGCAGGTTGCTGGTTCAGCGCTAATCTTCCCAGGAGTGGACGTCCCAGCAAAGTCACCCCAAAATCAGACCATGCAAAGCTCAGAGAAACTGCAAAAAAACAAAAACCCCAAAAACCAGGAGCTACATCTCAGACTCTACAGGCCTCACTTAGCATGTTAAAGGTTAAAGTTCATGACGGTAAATTGAAAAAAGACTGAACAAGTGAGGGGAAAAGGCGCCTCTCTATAAAAAGATACATCGGAACAAACCAAAGATGACACCAATGTGGAGATTTTTAGCCATAATGCAACAGCACAACCAACACAGCATATCACTATGCTGTGGGACTGTTTGCTTTGCAATAATTCTAGCAGCAAAATTTTAAAGTACAGTGCAAGTGGCAGGAAAGCAGGTGCTGTAGTGGAATAGTAAAATTTGCCTAATAAGGTTTGTAAGTGTGTGAACTGACCTGGATATATCTGTTTGGCAACCTTAATAAAAGCTAAGCAAAGGTGCTTCAGTGCTTCCTTTAGCCGTTACGAAAGGAAAGATGATAACTCCATCCAAAAATTCACACCATCCAAACATCTTAAAAAAAAATTCAACATACTTGTCACAGATTAATGTCAATGAACAGTTTCTATTTCATACCATAACCTGCTGATGGATTAAACTATAAACATTATGCTGCTGTAATAAAATCTGCTTCTTATCCATTTGATTCTTTGCATAAAGAATATAGGCTTATATTTTAAAAAGTGCTATAAATAAATACTGTGAGCCATGTTAAAATGATCAAAGTGGATTAAAAGTTAATGGTAAATAGATCAGTAAAAGGAGCTACAGTGTTGGACTATTTTTCATTGATGTCATCTCTACAGCAAGATATGCGCCACCTCTGTCACAGTCATTTTCCTCCCATGGTGCCCCAAAAAGTGCACCTGAGTGCCTCACCTGTACAGCTCGTTGCAGGTTACTGACAAACACTTTGGTAAACGAGATGTCTTTGAGGTATTGTCCCGCTGCCTCAGCCTGCTGCACACCTGTCTCTGACAGCAGCGTGTCCACACCTTGACCTGAGATCACAAAGTACAGACAGTCCAAACACACAGGTGCAGTTAGATGTGAAAGGTAAACACGTGATTACATCTGTTGCTATAACGCGAATCACCTTGCAGCAGCTTTTCCCTGTTGTACTGCGTTTCCCCACTGTGTAGAAACAGAACAACAAATCCGAGTTAGACGACTCATATAAACATCTCCTAAAAAAAAACAAAAAACTAAAACAGAGCACAAACGTTAAAGGTGCCTAAGTCTCCTATTGCTCAAAGTCAGCCGCACAGGCACACATGTAGCCACACAGCATGCTGCAACACCTGACAGGACACACAGGCTCTATAGGAAACACCAACATCAGCAAATCACTAATCTTCAAGTCAGGTGAAAGTATGAAACCATAATTAAGCCGCTAAATTACTACTTACTGTCGTACGAACGTTAAACTGAACGTAAACATTTTCAGCAGCCGCTCTCGCACTACTTCCTGTTTGGTTCGGCTGCAGTTGTGCGTGACGTTTCCTCCTACGTCATGACGCATTGCAGTGCTGCGTAACTGTAAATATATTTTTTTAAAAATCTCAGCAATCTCAGAGAAGGCATGGGTGTCCCCGTTCCCCTCTAAAAAGCGCGACAGAAATAAAATAAAATAAAATAAAATAAAATAAAATAAAATGGAGGGCCACGAGTGACAAAATGGATTAAATATATTATTAAATAGTTAAAATATTAAGATAAAACGAATTATTCCAGATTTTGATAATTTTCTACATATTTAATTAATTGTTTAATGATATACTTATTCAGTTTATTTTGCCCTGTGATTTTACTTTAAGCTAATCATTTTGTCAATGCCTTTCTTTACATCAATAAAGCATTAGCCGTGTTTTGACCAAAGATGATTTCCAGAATTTAACCACTTTAATGACAAATGCTTCAAACTAGTTTATGATGTGTGAACATGAGCCAAGGGAGCTGGAAGGTCTTGCGTACAGAATTGTCATGCAGCATCCAACATTACCTCTAACAGGCCTTTAATTGCACTGAAGGAGACACGTGAAGAAACCAAGTCAACCCAGTTGTACCCAGTGTTGAAGATGATGGGTGTAAATGAAAATCATGCAAGATTCATGCACATTTTTTTAATCTCTGTGTCTGACAGCAGAAGTAGCATTTACATGACCTCACTGACCTTTATGGATCAACACTCTTCTTCCTCACCTAAATTCCTCCCCTGACTGAA